GAACAGGCTCGCTGGGCTGCAGATGACCTTTAGTGGGCAGTGGATGGGGCTGCGAGAACAGGCTCGCTGGGCTGCAGATGACCTTTAGTGGGCAGCCCAGAGAGAGGAGGGACGTGACACAGAGTTGGTGCTCACATGTTAGCAGGATGGCTGGAAGGATGGATGAGTGAGTAGAATGCATCCTAAAGTAAGAGAGTGGGGCATACCCCATGGGGAAAGACACTTAATTGTCCTCATTTCCTCTAAATGTCAGGTTCATCAAGTTAGTCCCTGAGGAGGACATCACCACCTCAAAGGTCCAGACAAGGGTCACCTTAGATGAGCCTGAGGGGACAGGACGGCCAGCAGAAGGAGACCACATGCCATACGGCAGGGTAACCACCAGCTGCTCCATTCCCTCCCCACCTGCTGCTCCCCTGGAGATCCCAAACCTGCCGCCGGACACAGCAAGGGGATGGGCAGGGGTGGGGCAGGGAGGGCAGGTACCTGCTATGTGCCAAATTAGCTTTCAAGCACTTCATATTTGTTACTCCTCACAAGTACTTAAAAATGTGGATGGGGATAGCTTCATTTTAGAGATGACGAAACTGAGGTCTGAAAAGTTCAGAGACTTGTCTATATTCTCATAGCTAGCAAGTAGCCAAGTTGAGAATCAAATCTAGGTCTGTCTGAATTTGAAACTTGTATTTTTCTCCTCTTTTATACTGTTTAATCAATCCACCCATCCACCTACTTACTGGTATATTTATCCATCCATTCACCCATCTATCTACCTACCCATCCATTCATCCCAACCATCTATCCACACATTCATCTACCATCCCCCACTTTCAGACATTTACCCACCCACCCAACCACCCATCTATCCTCCTACCCACCTCTCTAGCCATTCAGTGATCTGTCTTTTCACCTATTCTCTGTCTCATATACCCACCCATCCATTCACCTACTCATTCATCTATCCAGCCAGCCAGCCAGCCAGCCATTTACCTGTTCACTCACCCACCCAGATGACATTTATAGGGCATCCACTAAGTGCCTGCCAGGCCAAGTCTGTGCCTTAGTGGAGACTTCATCCTAGTTAGAGGGAGATAGACCACAAACAATGAGGCTGATGATGGTAAATGCTAAAGAGGAAACAAAACAGGGGGAGGACACGGAGACAGCAGGGGGATGGGGTCACCTGTGAATCAGATGCTCTGAGAGGTGACATCTGATCAGATCCCTGAAGGTGCTGAGGAGCAAGTGGTGGGAAGAGGCTGGGAAGTGTGTTGCAGGCCGAGGGAACAGCAGGTGCAAAGGCTCTGCAGTGGAAGGAGCTTGAGGTGCCAGAGAAGAGAGTTGTGGCTCCATGAGGCTGGGTGAGGTCAGAGATGGACAAGGAGTTTGGATTTTCTTCTAAGAGCAAGGAAAACCCAGGGGCGGGTCAGCCACAGCAAGCCAGGGTCAGACAGAGATGTTTCAGAAGTCACGCTGGACCTTAAGCAGGTTGCTTACCCTCTTCATGCCTCAGTTTCTTTATCTGTAAAATGGGGATGATTGTGAGGTTAGAGAACACGTGCTGGGCTTGTTCCATAGTTAGTGCCATTAGATCAGTTCCATCTCATGGCGACCCTGTGTAGGGTTCCAAGGAGCAGCTAATGGGTGTGAGCTGCTGACCCTGTGGTTAGCAATCCATTGCTTATCCTATAGAGCCACACTAGGACCCCACTCCGTAGTAGGTGTTCAGTAAATTCCTCCAAATCCAGAAAGTGCTCCTGCCTGTTAACTTTAGGTCTCCCCTGCCCCACTAGGGCTTCCTAGAGGAAGGGGGTCTGGAGTGTAGACAGGGCTCCTGGTGGGAGGTATTCTGCAGAGTCCTCTTCCTCTCCCCACTGTGTCCATAGGTGAAGGCCGCCATGTACCTGACGTACCTGCGGGCAGTGGGCGTCCCCGTCGGCCTCTACATGCTCGTCCTCTTCCTCTGCCAGCAAGTGGCCTCCTTCTGCCACAGCTACTGGTTGAGCCTGTGGGCAGACGACCCCATCGTGGATGGGCGGCAGGTGCACGCTGCCCTGCGTGGCTGGGTCTTCGGGTTCCTCGGCTGTCTCCAAGGTGACCTCTACCAGCACCCCCCGCAGCTCAATCCAGGGTTGCTCAGGGCTCCCTGGTTTACCCATCCCTGGCTTACCCTGTCCTCCCCGCACATGTCCTGGGCCCAAGAACAGACCTGCATCCTTACTCTGGGGCCCTGGGAAGTGGGGGGACAGGACCCATCCCTCCTTTTCTGGACCCTTCAGTCGCTGCCAGCCTCACCTGCAAATGCAGAAACAGAGGGGTCTCAAATGCTGAATCTTGGCCCCAGATGTTGAGACAGCTGAGTACCTAGGACTCTGCCTAAGTCCGACTGCTGGCTCTGAGCCCCCTCACCCCAGACACACACTGCCACCCTCACCTCTTCTGTTTTTGGTTTTGAACTTGCAGTTGTTAGTGAGATCCTTGTAGACTTGCATGCAGACAATGAAGGGCCAGCTCCCGTGCACTCTGCCTACGTACCCCAGATAGTGTAGTATTGTAATCAGGATAGCTGGGTATTGTCATCAGGAGAGCCGGGTATTGACATGAAGAGAATCCACCACTTATCTTCAGATGTGTCCCCAGTTCTCCCCATCACATGTGTTACTTGTACCTGGGAGTTCTGTACAATTTTGTCACCTGCAAAGGTCTGTGTGGCCATTGCTTCAGTCAGCACTCCGAACAGATCCAACAGCATACAACCCCTCCTATTGCCTCTCCCCACAACCCCAATCCCTGCTCAGCTCCTCCTTTCAAAGCGTGACCTGGCTGAGCAGAATGACAAGATTAAGCTGTGCGTTTAGCCTCGTCTTTGAAAGGGGTACCCCCATCTTCACGTTTCTTGCAGTCTGCCTGATTCACAGGGGGACCTTGTCCAGGGCCCCCAAAGGCTGTGGATGTTTGTCCTCTTCTGTAAAATAGGTGCATCGCGCCTAAGCACTGAGGAGTTTTCTAGTTCAGGAATCCACAGACTGCTCACCAGAGCAGGTAGACAAAGGTGTGGTTCCAGGAAAGTGAGTTAAAAAAGAGGAGTTAGAAAGTCAGCCAAGCCTTGTTAACCCACTGCCACCAGGAAAGTGAGTTAAAAAAGAGGAGTTAGAGAGTCAGCCAAGCCTTGTTAACCCACTGCCACCCAGTCAATTCTGATTCATAAGGACCCTCGAGGACAGAGCAGAACTCAAATAGAGCTTCCGAGGCTACAGATCTTATAGGAGCAGACAGCCTCATCTTTCTCCTGAGAAATCGCTGGTGGATGAATGTGTAGCCCACTAACCACCAGGTCCTTGTTGCATGAATTCAGCTGGCCATCAGGAGACACACTGATGTTGTTAGGTGCCATCTTGTCTGTTCTGACCCATAGCAGAAAGAAACACTGCCCAGGCCTACACCAGCCTTACTACCCTCTCAAAATCTGTCCACAACCCTCCCTCGTTGGATAGGCCAGGGCAGGTCTTAGATCCCCATTCTAAAAATGAGTGGTCAGTTACATCTCTTGATTATAAGGAACAGAAAATTCAACTCCAGTTCCAACTGGTTAAAGCAACAAGAGAATTTGTTGGCTCATACATCCGGAATCCATAAGTAATGGATTCAACTATGGTTACATCCAGGGGATGTCAGTAGGAGTCCGAAATTATATCATTTATTTCCACTGTGAGAGCTTCCTCTCCACGCAGACTCTCTTCCCCAAGTGGTGATAAGATGGGATCCCACAGAATATTCTAGCAAAATCCCAGACCCCACTCTCCTGGCCCAGGTTGGCCCATGTTTTCACCCTGAACCAATTACTCTGGTTTGGATTGGCCAGAGGTAGAATTTGTCCCACCCAAGAGATCGGGGTGAAGTTAGCCCCGTCCCAAGCATGTGGCTGGTCACTGGAAGACAGGGTGGTTCCACCAGAGGACACTCTTCAGTGGCACCATGGGGGTGTAGGGGGCTTACCCAAGGGACTCCACCATTATGTGTGACCCCTTTGCTCCCCAGCCATCGGGCTGTTTGCCTCCATGGCCATGGTGATCCTAGGCGGGGCTCGGGCATCCCGCCAGCTCTTCCGGAGGCTTCTGTGGGATGTGGTGCGATCTCCCGTCAGCTTCTTTGAGCAGACGCCCACTGGGAACCTGCTGAACCGCTTCTCCAAGGAGACAGACACGGTAGATGTGGACATCCCAGACAAACTCCGCTCCTTGCTGACCTATGTCTTTGGACTCCTGGAGGTCAGCCTGGTGGTGGTGGTGGCCACTCCACTGGTCCTTGTGGCCCTCTTACCGCTGTTCATCCTGTACGCTGGGTTTCAGGTAAGGAGAAGTCACAGGGTCTCTGGGAAGGACTCTGTCTGAGAAGTTCTGCACAGTTGCCTGCCCACTTCTAATACTTGCTCCATTCTCTGTCTCCCAAATGTTCAGGTCAGAGTCTTTTGTTGTTGTTGTTGTTTAATCCTTTTATTATTTATTTTGCAATCAACCAATCGCATCTTATTTCATTGTAATGCTTACAATCCCCTTTTTGATGTACACAAAAACACACAGGAATATAGAATAGCTTAAACAACCAAAGCACACATTTTGCAAACCAGCCTCCTGGCTGCCAGCACATAGCCTTTCTCTTTCCGTGAATGTAGAGTCCTCTGCTTACTCTCTCTCTCCATGCTATCACCTCTGTCTCCGTCTCTGGTGGTGCTGCTTCTTTGGTTAGGATCCCACATTCCGCTCATGCTCTTCCCTCTTGCTGGCCCTAGGGTCCTCTGTTCCTGGACTGTAAGATTAACTACTCCCCACTTTTTGTTTTACAGTCAAGAGTCTTTTTTAATACCTAAGCTGTTGCACTTCTGCTGTGGCGTTGGCTTTCTCTTTACCAGTTATCTGGAGACCAGGCAGGGCTCAGTCTCAAAGATTCTTGTGTTGGGCAAGAGCTTCTTCTCTGTGGCCAGGGTCAAAGACCAGCTAAAATGAGCCCAAACCAAAGAACAGACTTGAATGGTGTCCACTTTGGGGATGCCTTGGAACTGGCTGTCACCTCCACAGTTCAGTGATTCTCACAGTACTACCCCAAGACCAGCAGCAGCAGCCTGTTAGAAATGCAGATTCTCAGGCCTCACCCCAGACCTACTGAATCAGACCCTCTGCGGGTGAGGCCCAGCAGTCTGTGTCTTAACAGACCCTCCAAACCAACACTCACCATTCTGATACATTCGACAACCACTGAGTAGACTGTCCTTGGTCAAAGTTTACAAACTTCTTTTTTTCCCCCCACAGGGGGCAGATCTGATTGCTGCTGGCAACACCAGACTTACATCATCCCGCCTTAGCAACTTCAGCACAAAGAAAACTCTCCTCCAGCTAAGGTTCATATGTTGGTGGTGTTGTCAAGTGCCATCGAGTCAGTTCCGACTCATAGCAACCCTATATCCAGTTTCTGAGGCTTATAAATCTTTGTGGGAACAGAAAGCCTCATCTTTCTCCTGGGGAGCGCTGGCGGGCTTGAACTGCCAATTTTGTAATTCTCAGTCATATATCATAGATTAATCCCAGGGAAGAGCCCCATTGGCCCTTTATGAGTCATGTGCCTGTCCCTGAATGAATCACAGTGGCCAACAGGATGGTGTACCCTGACTGGCTGGGCTAGGTCGTGTGATCAGAATCCAGGATTGACAGTCCCACTAGGAAATGAGTAGAGTAGAAACAACGTGGCAGGAAGACGCAAACCCGTCCTCTCAGTCTTCTTGAAGCAGAAAAGGGCTGCGTCTCTTTCGCAAGCTTTGGACTCAGACAGTTGGTGCTGTTGTGGTTAAGTGCCGACAGAAGTGGGTTGAAATCCAGGCCTTGCCATGCATGTCCTGTAGAGGCTGGGAGCAGCTGCTTGCCCCACCCCTAAGCCTCAGGTGTTCTCATCTGTGAAGTGGGACCAGCACCAGGGCCCACACAGTGAATGAGGTACTTAGTAAAGGAAAGGGGCCCTGGTGGCTCACTGGGGCACCCATTGGGCTGCTACCCACAAGGTCAGCAGTTTGAACCCTCCAGTCACTGTCGAGAGAAAGATGAGGCTGTCTGCTCCTGTAAAGATTTACAGGCTCAGAAACCCCGCGGGGCAGTTCTACTCCATCCTCTAGGGCCACTGTGAGTTGGGACCAATGAATGGCAGTGGCTTTGTAAAGAAGCTGTTGATCCTGGAGTCTGATAATGACACTTAATTCTCTGTGTGCCTCACGTCCCAAGCAGTTGGCATGTAACCCTTAGGTTTACTGAGTGAATTCAACTGGACCAGCTGCCTTCCATGAAGGGGAGCACAGTGGCTGCATCCGATAAATACTGGTCTGCAAACCACAAGGCCAGCGGTTCGAGCCCAGCAGTCCATGGGAGAAAGATGAGGCTTTCTGCTCCTGTGAAGATTAAAACCTATCCAGGGTTGCCGAGTCAGAATCAACTCGAAGGCACTTCACAACAGCAGCTGCCTCCATGGTGCTATCCATTTGTGCCCCTTCTCTGATTTGCCCTGAGTGAAGCAGTTGGCATTGGTGCTATGAAATGAGACATTTAAACTAGATCAGTGGCTCTTAACCACATCAGAATCCACTGGAAGGCTTTTAAGAAAAATACCCAAGCCAAGGTGCCAGTCCCAGAGATTCTGATTCATATATTCTGGGGCACTGGAGGTTCTTAAAGTTCCCCAGGTGATCTTTTAAAAAGACATTAACTCTGTAAGGAAACTGGGGCCCAGAGAGGGGAAGCAAGGGGTCCAAGGTCACACAGCATAACAAAATCTGGTCAGGAACCTTGTGTTGGCGCTGCCAGTGGTTCTGCGAGCCACCTCTCTCTGTCTGTGGTCTCTTCCAGAGCCTCTATGTGGCCAGCTCGTGCCAGCTGCGACGTCTGGAGTCAGTCAGACACTCGTCTGTGTGCTCCCACATAGCCGAGATGTTCCAGGGCAGCACAGTGATCAGGGCCTTCCGGGCCCAGAGTTCCTTTGTGACTCAGAGTAATGCACACGTGGATGAGAGCCAGAGGGTCAGTTTCCCACGACTGGTGGCTGACAGGTAAGATCCTGGGGGCAGAGAAGGCCCCAGAGAGTGACACCAGTGGTAAATCACACTTTGTGGCCAGAGAGGTCAAGTGGACAACCTGAGATCACACAGCGAGTTGCACACAAAGCTGAGGCTAGATCCCACAGGTTGCCTCTCAGCAGACAGATGGAACCTGGCCCAGAGGGTCCCCAAAGGCAGCTGAGCAGGAGGTACAGGGCTCAGCAGAGAGAAGAAAGCACTGATGTCAGACAAGTGGACCAGTCTCTGCTGCCATGGTAACAGAGAAACTAACACCCTCGTCTCCTTTCAGTCCAAAACAAGAGCAAGAACACAAGCTGTGAGCATAGACATGGCAGGTTCAAATCCCAGCTCTGTCAGATGGGAATTACTAGATCACCGTACAGGGTCATCTGGAAGACAGAAGGGCCTGTGTGGTAAAGTTCAGTTCTCCTGAGGCAAGTTTTCATCAGTCTGTTTGTTGGGCTGTGTACCTAGCTCCTCAGATATGCCAGGCACACTGCCGTTGGCTCAATAAATCCTTGTGGGAAGATTCAGTGAGCGAACAAACAGAAGAGTCGGAGTTTAGTAACACCCATCAGGCCCAGCGCTAGACTGGGCATGGGGCTGGGAACAAGACACACAGGACACTGCCCTCAGGAAGTTGTGTTGTACTGGTGGACACTGATGGGCCACACTGCTGAAAAGGTTCTGTTACCAAGAGGGACAACCGTTAGGAAGGAAGTCGTCATCAGAGAGGGGTAGAGGAGGAGTCAGGGAAGGCTCTCAGAGGAGTTGACGTTTTTAGCTGACTTGTGCCAGAAGATAGAGGTTAGGTCGGAGGTGGGACATGAGTTGGCATATTCCAGGAGCAGAGCAGTGGCCCTCACTAACACTCTACCGAGTACCGTGTGTGCCAGGCCCTGCCCGAGCTGGCACGGATGAGTCAGAAGAACATTGTCACCTCCTCCCACCATCAAGCTTGGGTGGGATCTGGGGAACAAGAAGACCATCGCTGGGACTCCCACGGTGTGTGAGCTGGCCAGTGACCAGGCTGTGTGCCCAGAGAAGCAGGTCCAGGCAGTTCCAGGCACCGCTGACCCCCTGCTCTCCACCTTCCCCGCAGGTGGCTCGCTGCCAATCTGGAGCTCCTAGGGAACATCCTGGTGTTGGCGGCTGCCATGTGTGCTGTGTGGAGCAAGACCTACCTGAGAGCAGGCCTCGTGGGCTTCTCTGTCTCCACTGCCCTCCAGGTACTCCTGCCCTCCTCCAGCCTGGGCTCGGGTGCCAGCCGGTCCAAAGACAACACCTACCAGTAGGGTTCCCAAGGACCCCAAGTCTCAACCCTCAACGGTGAGGAAATGGTAGCTCTACCAGGGCTGGACTTACTGAGGTGACCTTGTGGTTCTGAGAGCCTCAGTGTGCACATCTAGAATATGGGCAGCAATCCCACCCATCCAGATGTTGCAAGGACCAATGGCGATAAAGTGTGTGTTTCCAGGGCATCCTGATTAATTGTCACAACAGTTGGTGTTAGGCCATGATCAACAGTGTGAAGGAAAAGAATACACGATGGGGCATCAAAAAGCTCTTAGGAAAATGGAGTAGGAAGCTTACAGAAATTTTCCACGAACTTTTTAAAGTCCCAGTGTATCTGCATATAAATAGTATGTGGTGGTGGTTGTGTGCTGTTTGGTTGGTTCTGACTCAGTGATTCTGTATAGGGCTTCAAGGCTGAAATCCTTATGGGAGCAGGAAGCCTCATCTTTTTCCCACAGATAGCTGATGGATTCAAACTGTTGACATGTAACCCACTACACTACCAGGGTCCTTTAAATTGTCTGTCTGTTGTTGTTAAGTGCCATCGAGTCAGTTCCTACCCATAGCGACCCCTATATAGGGTTTCCGAAGAATGGCTGGTGAGCTTGAACCACTACCGACCTTTCAGTTCAAACCAACTTTGCAGTCCAGCGCATTAACCCACAGCGCCATGCCATGACTGTATAAATAGTCTTTAGCGCTAATTACTATGCATGACCCAGGCATTGTTCTAAGTGCCTTATGAACATTTGTGTTAACTCCTATAACCTTGCTCGCGACCCCATTAGGAAGTCGCTACTATTATACTTGTTCCTGGGGGCTACAAACAGTTAAGCACTTAACTACTGATTGAAGGTTGGTGGTTCAAACCCATGCAGAGTCACTCTGAACGAGAGGCCTGGAAGTCTGGTTCCAAAAGATTGCAGCCTTGAAACCCCTGTGGTGCACAGTGCAGCTCTGCACACACGGGGTCACCCTGAGTCAACATTAACTCCTTACCAGCTGGTTTAGATTGGGTTTGAACTCTTACTTTGATTTTGTAGTGGAGGCAGCTAGGGCGCAGAGAACATAAGGATAAGGCAGAGTAGGGAATGGAGCATGATGAGGCCAGGCATCGTTTGCTACTGCAAGGAAGACAAGTGATGGTGGAGGGAGAGCATCAATGAGAGGAGGCTCCCAGCAGAGGGAACAGCAGGAGCAAAGGCCCTGAGGCAGGAGTGTGCCTATGCCAGGTGAGTCAGGAATAGCATGACAGACCAGTGTGGCCGTAGGGGGTGAGGTAAGGCAGAGCGAGAGTGGAGGGTATGAATGTCTGAATGTGCAGGACACACAGGCCCTGGTGTGGAGCTTGAGGTGGGAAATCACTGGAAGCCTAGCACCCCTGGGAAAGCTTTTGGAATGGAAAGTCAGTGGGCCGGGGACCTGCTGGGTATCCTGGGGAGGGCCACACACCCTCTCTGTTCCTGTCTCCCACTTGCATGAAGATGGGTTAGAGAGCTGACATCTGTGGGCTCCTTTCTGCTCTGTGTACTCTGCATCTAGGAAGGGAGAGAGAAGCGAGCAGGACTGGAGGAAGGAAGGTTGCTATCTGCTGCAACCAAATACGATCCCGTGAGCCCAGGTCTTTGAACTGCCCTGTCCCTGCATCCTCTCCTTGGTCCCCTTCCTCAGTGGCCAGTTCTAGCCTGCGGTGGCCTTACTGAGGCCTAGCCTGAGGGATCTTCTCATACCAGGTGACACAGACGCTGCAGTGGGCGGTCCGAAGCTGGACAGAGCTGGAAAGTGGCATTGTGGCGGTGGAGAGAATGAAGGACTACTCCCAAACACCTAAGGAGGTGACAGGGCAGGGTGGAGTTGCAGGGCCCAGCCAGGACCTAGACAGTGGAACTAGTTGTCATGGGCTTTGGCATCTGCATGCTCTTCTCCCCAACCCAACCCCACCAACCTAAGCCAGGGCCCCAGGACAGGGTGCCAGTAATGGTGTGGAGCCAGAGTTCAATCCTGCTCCCTTTGCTTACTAGCTTGAGCAAAGCAGGGCACCCATACGGAGCCTCAGGGAACCAGCAGCGTTACAATAAAAGCAGCAACATCACAAGAACACAACAGTAATGGAACAAAACAAAATCTAATTCCATCTTTGCCATGGAGTTGATTCCTACTCAGGGCAACACATGTGCTACAGAGTAGAACGGGCTCCATAGGATTTGTTTTTGTTTTTAAAGATTTTAGGGTTTATTAACCCTCTGGTGAAAAATCCAGTCATTGCAGAATCATTATTCCTTCTTTTTGCCAGCACCAACATTCACCTTTGCAGTTCCCCTGACTTAGTTTATTCTGTTTTTGCGTTCCTTGCACTGTTTTCTTCTTCTCAGACAGGCCATGCCTTGCAAGTCTGTGTTTAGGTTCATTTTTCTTTGCATAATCCAAGGATACATAAATCATGCTGAAGCCAGTAGTCTTGCCACCATCAAAATGGGTTCTGAATCCAAACACAAAGATGACCTCTGGTGTCATATATTTTGGCAAATTTTCCCAGAATTTCTGTTTTAGGCACTGTTGCTTTCTTGGGGTGAAGGACATCAATGACCATCTGTTTCCGCTGAAGTAGTCGGTTGGTCATGAACTTCTTGGTCTGGATGGATACTGTGTCATTCATGATGGCGGCAGACGCTTAGGCATCCAGGGAGGGAAAAAGCTCCATAGGGTTTTCTTTGTTGTAATTTTTAAGGGAGCAAATCACCAGACCTTTCTTCCACCGAGCCACTGGGTGGGTTCCAACATCCATCCTTTAGGGGAGCAGCCAACTGCAAACCGCATGTGCCACCCAGCCTCCTGGCACACAATGGCTCTGGGTTTACTTGGAGCATCCAATGAGGCCTTGCAACAAAGCAGTCCACTGCTTTTTCTAGCCCGTCTTCACAGCTAGGGAAGTTGGATTCCAGGATGTTGACTGACCTGTACCAGGTCACAGGGATTGTAAACAGCAGGGTTCCCACCAGTCTTGCCTTCTTCTCACGAGAACATCATTCTTTGACACGAAGCAGCAGCTCATTATTGATAAACAGTAGATGGTATCAGATATCTGTCTTGAGCCCACGTTCCATGCCCTCATCTTATTCCCCTAACAACGCTGCAATAGCAGTAAGTACACCCACTTTATAGAAGAGGAAACTGAGGCTCAGACAACTGAGCCATTTAGTAAGAAGCCTTGGAGAAAGGTTCCTCTGACTCATTGTCCCTTCCTGCCTTAGGCCCCCTGGAGGCTGCCCACCTGTGCAGCCCAGCCCCCCTGGCCTCACGCAGGGCAGATTGAGTTCCGGGGCTTTGGGCTGCGGTATGGGCCTGAACTCCCACTGGCTGTGCGAGATGTGTCTGTCAGAATCCACCCAGGAGAGAAGGTGAGTGGTTCTCCCCAGGCGTCAGTCACGGTAAGACTGAGCACTTGCTGCCTCCTAAACATCCTCTCTGCATGCACCCCAGCTGGACTTCTAAATTGCTCCTGTCTTACTGATGTGCTCTGCTCCCCACGACCTCCCCAGATCAGGCACCTCCGGACCCCCTTCTTCTAACGTTTGTTGGAAACCTCCTAAGTGCTGCACCTGTGCTGAACACTGAGGGTTGCATGGGCTTGGATTCTGGATTTGCCATGCATGACGTTGGTCAAGTCAGTTTATGGCTCTGGGCCCTAGTTTTCCCATCATAAGATGGGAATAATAGTATCGACTTCATGGAGTTGGTGTGATGTTTAATCGGGTTAATATGTGCAGTGTAGTTGAACAAATTCACAACAGGAACTTGGAAGATCAGACAAGAACCTTAAGGAGCGGTGATTTCTGTTAACTGGGGAGAAACTGATCAGAGAATGGTTGTATGTTACCACTGTCACTGAATTGTACCTGTAGAAACAGTTGAATTGGTGTGTGTTTCACTGCATATGAAGGTAAGTCAAAAAGTATTGCTATAAGATTCAAGGCACAGCTGGTGAGCTTCTGACCTGGCAGTCCAACACATTAACCCACAGTGCCACAACAGGTCTCCCTTATTACATGTTGTTAAGTGTCGAGTCGGTCCGACCCATAGCAGCCCTATATAGGGTTTCCAAGGAGCAATAAGTTCATACGCATGTGAAAGTTAGACAGTGAATAAGGAAGACTGTAGAAGAATTGATGCTCTTGAGTTATGGTATTAGAGGAGAATATTGAAGGTGCCATGGGCTGCCAAAAGAACCAACAGATCTGTGTTGGAAGAAGTGCAGCCAGAGTGCTCCTTGGAGGCCAGAATGACCAAACTTCATCTCTCATACATCGGACATACTTGTCAGGAGGGACCAGTCGCTGGAGAAGGATATCATGTTTGGTAGGGTGGAGGGTCAGAGAAAACGAGGAAGACCTCCAGCGAGATGTTTTGACAAAGTGGCAGAATCAGTGGGCCCAAGCGTAGCAATGATAGTGAGGTTGGCCCAGGATCAGGCAGTGTTTCATTGTGCTGTGCACGGAGTCAGTGCCGACTTGATGGCACCTAACAAGAAGACGACGACTGGTGGAGTCCTGGTGTGGCGCTGTGGGTTAATGTACCAGACTGTAAAGCCGTTTGAACTGCAAGGTTGGCAGTTCAAGCTCACCAGCTGCTCCTCAGAAACCCTATACAGGTCGCTGTTGGTCAGAATTGACTCGATGGCACTTCACAAGACTGGTGGTGGTGGTTATGTGCCACAGAGTCGGTTTGACTCATAGAGACCCTGTATAGGGTTTCCAAGGCTGTATAGGGTATCTGAGGCTTTACGGGAGCAGAAAGCTTCATCTTTCTCCCGTGGAACAGGTGGTAGTTTTGAACTGCTGACCATGAGATTAACAGCCTGACTCATAACCACAGTGCTGCCAGAGCTCCTTCCTAACAAGACTAAGACAAATATATTACTGAGAGAACTTGCCTTCAGCCCTCCACTGAATGCAGAGATGTGTTTAAACACGTGTTATTTGGAATAAACCCAGGCATGTAAACAGGAGTCCTAGTAACAATACTTTTGGACTTACCAGCATCACTAAGTGATTGTTTCAAAGTGCCTGGAGCAGTACCTGCCACACAACAAGCACTCATGAAAGCATTTACTTCTTAGCGTTGGCATTTTGTCTCTCACAACACTCCTATGAAGGAGCTCCGCTATCCCACTGAACAGGTCTTATAGATCCTGATTGGGCCCTGTCATGGAATCCCTGTCCCTGCCACCCTCTTCGTCCCCTCCCTATGGGAACTGCAGGTGGCCATCGTAGGCTTCCAACTCAGGCCTCGGCCCCTCCTGTTAGCTCTCTCAGTGATTCCCCTGCTGCAGGCCCTCAGCCAGCTTCACCCGTCAGAGCCACAACTTCTGAGCTTGGCATTTAAGGCCCTGCCCAGTCTGTACCCAGCCCACTTCTCTGTAGCTTCCTGCCTATCCCCCATTCATTCCTCTGCCAGGATTTAGCTAATCTCAGCTGCCTCAGTGCCCAGTGGTCAGACAAGGTACTGCCCTCAGTGGACTTGCATTCTAGCACATGGTGGGCTTAGCCCCATCCTTCAGGATTCCTCTCACATTTCCTCACCCCCACGAAATCTCCGGAGTAGCCTTCTACTCTAGCCCAGGCAGCATGAATAGTGTCCATTGCTGCGGGCCGGGAGCTGGATCCTAAGAGCACTTATTCATCACTCAGAGGAGCCCTAGTGGCACACTGGGTAAGAGCTGGACTAAGTCAAAGGTGGGCGGTTCAACCCTACCAACTGCTCTGTGGCTGTCTGTTTCTGTAAAGACGTTAAGACTGGAAACTCGACGGGGCAGTTCTACTCTGTCCTCCAAGGTCGCTAGGAGGCAGAATTCACTCCATGTTGTTAAGTGCTGCTGAGTTGGTTCCCCCTCATAGCAACCCCATAAAGGGTTTTTGAGGAGTTGGTGGGTTTGAACTGGTGACCCTGTGGTTTGTAGTCCAGTGCTGACCCTACAGCACCACACCAGGTATTTGTTATACTCTGAGTGAGTTGGCTCAGTTGTACTACTTCCAAGACCAGAGAGCGCTGTGGAGCAAGAACTCCTTAATTTCTGTATTTCTGGTGTCTAATGGAGTGCCTGCCTGGTAGCATAGTGGTTACAAATTGGGCTGCGAACCTTAAGGTCAGCAGTTCGAAACTACCAGCAGTTCTGCAGGAGAAAGATGAGGCTTTCTGCTCCCGTAAAGATATACAGCCTCAGAAACCCTGTACAGGGTCGCTATGGGTCAGAACCGTCTCGACAGCACTTAACAACAATGGAGTGCCTGACATGCAGTGGGTGACTCACTTCATTTATTAAACAATTAAGTTTTGACTCTGGCCATTTGTCAGGTCCTGAGAATGCAGCAGTAAGCAAGAGCAAGAAGGCTGGTAGGGAGCGTGGGGAAAGAAGGAGTATAAGGGTAGATAAAAAGATACAGTATGGAAGATGGGCAGGTGGGATGGAAGGCTGAGGGTTGGATGGAGGGATAGGAGAATGGGGTGGGATTAAAGATGCAGGATGGTGAAAGTGGAGGCTGTAAAGATGGGAGACAGAAGTGCAGAAGCGCCCTAGGATACTGCGGCAGCAGATGCACAGGACTGGTAACGGCAAAGTCCGCACTGAATCCCATCAGCTGCTCTCAGAAACCTATACAGGGTTGACATGAGTCAGATCCGACTTGATGACACATAGTAACTATAATGGAAGGGTAGGGATAGGTGGGAAGATGGGGGTGATATGCCAGGATGAAGGGAAGATAGAGGAATTCACAGATGGAAGGCGGGATAGCTTTGTGCGTGCATCTCCAGAAGGATTAACCGATGGATAACTGGGCAGCTGAAGAATGTGGCTGGACAGATAGATCTGGACATAGGGAGAACCTCTCAGGGCTCAGCCAGGTCTGGTTAGTGCAGCCCTTGCTCTCTGTCCCCTGGCAGGTGGGCATTGTAGGCAGGACAGGTGCTGGTAAGTCCTCCCTGGCCGGGGGTCTGTTGCGGCTCCTGGAGGCAGCAGAAGGCAGGATCTGGATCGACGGGGTCCCCATCGACTGTGTGGGGCTACACACACTGCGGTCCAGAATCACCATTATCCCCCAGGTCAGGACGGGGGAGCCGAGGGTGCGGGGGTGGGGCAGGCAGAGGTGCACAGCCCCACTAGGCCCTGCTCTGACCTTCTGTCTTATGACCAAGGACCCCATCCTGTTCCCTGGCTCTCTGCGGATGAACCTCGACCTGCTAGATGAGCACACAGACGAGGCCATCTGGGCGGCCCTGGAGACCATGCAGCTCAAAGCCTTGGTGGCCAGCCTGCCCGGTCAGCTGCAGTACAAGTGTATCGACCAGGGGGACAACCTGAGGTACAGTCACCTCACCTTGGGCACTGGATGGGTCCTCAGGAATTCTGCCTCCCCCATGCATTGTTAGCCCTAGGGTCCCAGGGCGGAGCAACCGAATTGCACTCAACTGGTAGCGTAGTGGTTGTGAATTGGGCTGTGAACCGCAGGCCAGCAGTTAGAAACTACCAGCTGTTCTGCGGGAGAAACATGAGGCTCTGCTCCCGTAAAGATTTATAGCCTCGGAAACCCTGTACAACAAGGTCGCTATGAGTTGGAACTGACTCCATGGCACACAGCCACCAGCCACTAATCTAAAGGATTCGTGGTGTGGCACTGTAGGATAAGCACTGGGGTTGCAAACCACGAAGTCAGTGGCTCAAACCCACCAGCTTCTCCTTGGAAACTCCATACTATGAATCAGAGTCGACTTGACGGCACTAAACCTTTTTTCCTTGGAGGTGAGATGGGGTGGGGCTATAAAAATGTATTGCGCTTGTTACTGGGGGCAGACCTCAAACCCACAGTGAGTATTAAGCAGCAGATTGTGTTTGCCTTTTTAAAAGCCGAGACCTTCTGGAATCAAACACTTTTTCGGGCGCTGAAAGTTTTGGGACAAGACTGGGTGTTAGTGGTTCCCAGGCAGCAGAGAGGCAGTGTAGCTCAGTGGCCAAGAGCATAAATGAGTGCCAGACAGCCTGGCTTCCAAATGAGGCTTCCTCCACTGTTGTGCCTCAGTTTCCCCATCTCCCAAATGGGGATGATAGTACCTACCTACCAGCGTGAGGGTTAAATGAGTCATGTGTGTGAGACTGGAAACAAGAAGTGTTCACCTCAGAGTTGGAATTGGAAAACCTAAAGACTTGACCAAGGCTGCCCACCTTGTCAGGGTGAGGTGGGAGCAAGGCCCAGGCAGACTTACCCGGACTAGGTGTTATTACTTCAGCAAAAGGGAATATGGTGAGGAAACCGCCTAAACCATACCTGGTCCTCGAGGCCCAGCCAATGCGGTCAGGCTCTGCCACTCACGGGCTGTGACTTTGAGCCTCAGTGTCCCCACCTGTAATTACAGAGCGTCCACACTGTGCTGAGGGCTTGTCACCACGCATGTACGCGAGCCCTTTTATGTGACCACTCTTCACGGCTCAGTGCCTGACTCCACTTCCCCTTGTCCTTGGATTAAAATATGAGGGACTTCAAAAGGTTCATGGAAAATGGAATGAAAAGATAACAAAATTTCCCATGAACCTTTTGAAGCCCTTTGTATATACCAGCACTGAGGAGACCACAGAAGAGAAAAATCATTTCACCAGGGAGGAAACTGAGGCACAGAGGGTTTGAATGAACTTGCCTGAAGTTATCCTGCTTGAAAATGGCCTTTCTGACTGCACACCCGTGTGAGGGCTTACTCACCCCTAGCTTCTGTGGACATCATGGGGACCCAAGGGTGGGTGCACCTTAGAGACCCTGATGTGTCCAATCTAACGACCCCACTCGTCCCCAGCGTGGGCCAGAAGCAGCTCCTGTGTCTGGCTCGCACCCTGCTCCGGAAAACCCAGATCCTCATCCTGGATGAGGCGACGGCAGCCGTGGACCCTGGGACGGAGCGTCAGATCCAGGCGGCCCTCAGGAGCTGGTTTGCTCAGTGCACAGTCCTCTTCATTGCCCACCGCCTGCGCTCGGTGCTGGATTGCGCCAGGTAAAGTACTCCCACCAGCCCCTGAAGGGTGAGCAGGTAGAGGAGGGGCTGGGTACAACGTCTAGCTTCTGAAGGGCCCACAGGTGGCAAGACTGATGCCCTCAGGAAGGGATGACTCCAAGAACACATGCATCTCAGTTCAGCCTGGGTCAGGCGGGAGCCCGCCTGGGCCTCCCCTCTGAGTTCTCGGGAGTGTCTGGGCTGATGTTGAAAGAGCTGCCTTCTCCCTGTCCCCACTACAGAGTGCTGGTCATGGACAAGGGGCAGGTGGCGGAGAGTGGCAGCCCAGCCCAGCTGCTGGCCCAGAAAGGCCTGTTTTACAGATTGGCTCAGGAGTCAGGCCTGGTCTGAGCCAGCTCTCCCCTTTACCCCTGGAAGAAAAATGGCAGATCCCCACGGAGTATCATATCCAGAAGTTCTCGGCAGCCCCAACTCTGGGCTCATCCAGACTGGATGTTGGCGGTAGCTCTCAATCCTGGCTGCCCACTGCGTTCACATGGGGCTCCACACAGACCAACTCCATCAGAATCCTAGGTTGGGAACTTTTTATTCTGAGATCATTGATCTTGTTTACCCTTTTATCCAGTTCCCCCCAAGGGAACATTTGAAAATAGTTCACTATTATCACCAGGATGTTGACCTAAGCCACCGCACTTATTCAGATTTCCCGAGTGTTACTTTACCTGGCGAGCTTGTGTGTGACAAGCATGTCTCTGCAGTTCTGTCACCCGTGTGGGCTCCGTTAGGCCCACACCAGGGCACCCTGGAGTCCTCTACAAGTTACCAGATGCCCGTAATCCAAACCTGTCATCGAGTCAATTCTAACTCACTGGGTACCAGGTTTCCACAGGTGTCATGGAGAAGCAGGCTGCCACAGGTTTCTCCCATGGAGTAGGTGGTTGGTTCAAACTGCCGATCTGTCAGCAGCTAAGCTTTAATCATTGTACACCAGGGCTTCATGGGACACAAGTTACATCCAAGAAAAACCATAATGTGGACTCCCTTGATCCACGCTGTGCAGTCTTGTTTTAATGGGGTATCTACCTCATCCCCACAAACACGGAACTGAGCCACATGCCTTGCCCATAGAATGGAACTGCTGTCACTGGGAACATTGCTATTAGGCCCCCTTTACAGATGAGAAAACTGAGACAGGGATTTGAACGCGAGTGGCCCGGCTCCAGAGGTCACAGTCCCACCCACTACCTGTGCCACGCTGCCCTGTGCTCACATCCTTAGATCCGGAGCAGCCACCCAGCAGTAACAGCTGGAATTAATACTTTGAAATCCCACCCAAAGGGAAGGAAGTGGCTTCCTGTCTGCCTCAAGCAGAGAGAATGACTGAGTGAGTGTAGTTTTCCCCAGCACAGTGATTGCACTAAGGGGATGACTGGGGTCTCCCATCTCTGCTGGTGGTCTAGGCTCAGGCAGCACAATGACCTCATTGTACTGAAGAGGGAGCTGGTTCCACAGAGCAGGTTCTAGAAAGCTGAGTGCACACCACAGTTCCCAAAGAATCAATTTGAGGTGCCCTATGTGCCCACATCCTAGAGACAGTGCAGTGATTAAACAGCGGAGCTGCCATTCTAGAGACAAACGAAGGAAGCCAGCAATGAATGCTGCCTCGGCGGGGAGAGGGGGTTCCGTCCGCAGGACTGCTTTGGCTGCTGAAGACCAGCAAGGAGGTGCATGTGGCTGAGAGCCCCCATGGTGCAGGGCTTCAAACTGAATTATGTTCCCCTAAGTTCAGTATTGCCAATCCTAACCCCATACCTGTGGTGATCGTCCCATTTAGGAATGGGTTTCCCCCCAGAACAGACAGAATGAGCACTTTCCTCAGACTTGGTGCCCTGACTTTGAGAAAATAAATGTTTGTTAAAGCCACGCCCCTGGTGTGTCTGCTACTAGATAATGAAGTGTTCAGGGGCAGCGTTTCAGAGGGTCACTGAGTCTGCAGGTTGAACACCGGGGTGGGGACCGTGGGAGACCATTGTGTGGTAAAAGGAGAGATGATGAGGGGGAAGCCAGACTGGAATGTGCCCAGGGGGGAGATAATGGAAACAGGCCCCACTCCCCAGCCCTCTGAGCACCGAGAGACTCCCTTTCAATGAGAAGCGCATTGGTCGCCCGCCCTCCATACACAGTACTGAAAGCACGTCTCTCCCCAGGATGAGCAGCTTCGAGCGTCTCCCTAAACCCTGTGTTCTGATTCCAGGGCCACTTCCTGCCATCTCTTAGTAAAGCAGATTCAAGCTCAGTCCAACCCTAGTACATACCAGGAGTTCTGATGTGGTGCTAGAGGTTCATGCGCTGGACTGCAAGGTTGGTCTGAGCCTCAAGGTTTGCGATTCAAACCCACCAGTCGCTTCTTGCACTTGGAAACCCTATACAGGGTCGCTATGAGTTGGAACCGATTCTATGGCACTTAGCAACAAAGAAGTACACACCCAGACACACACCAAGTTAAGTTCTGAGTAAACTGAAGATCTGACCTGGGCCTTCACGAAGGTTCAAAGGTGGGTCAGGCTGAAATAGAAACATTATCTCCCCATGGCACACCCAAGCAAAAAAGTACTCTAATGGTAATAACCTCATGGTGGTGGTTGTTAGGTGCCATTGAGTTGGCACCGACTCATAGCGACCTTATGCACAGCAAAATGAAACAATGTCCGATCCTGGGACAATCTCACTACCGCTGCCACACTTGAGTCCATCGATGCTTCTGCCTGGCCAATCCATCTCATTGGGGGTCTTCCTCTTTTTCTCTGATCCTCCATCTTACCAAACATGATATCCTTCTCCAGCAACTGTTCCCTCCTGACAGTATGTCCAAGTTATGAGAGATGAAGTTTAGCCATCTCGGCCTCTAAGGAGCACTCTGGCTGCACTTCTTCCAAAACAGATCTATTGGTCCTTTTGGCAGCCCATGGCACTTTTAGTATTCTCCAACACCATAACTCAAAAGCATCAATTCTTCTACGGTTTTCCTTATTCACTGTCCAGCTTTCAC